AGTTTTCAACAAAGTCATTGCAATGCATCTGAGCTGTAACAATTTGATTCAAATCATTTTACTTTTCTGCATTTCTCCGCTAAGTTCAGCAACACACTTACTTGGTTTTTATAGCTAAAAGCAGCTACAGAGACCATTCAGCTTATAAAATATTCAGCATTCGCACGCATTTTCTGCAGGAAATGCATTTTATAGTTACCGCATATTTGCTGCTTTTGATTTGACTGATGCTGGCTTCCTATCACTGGCTGGATATTAAAACTCAATATACTACTTGTTACAAAAATCTGTGAAAGACCTCGCCCCAAGTTATTCCTACAGCCCTATGACCCTGAGATCCTCAGGTTCCACTTCCTTGTGCTTTCAAGGTTCAGATTCCAATGCTTAAGTTTGTTTTATTCTCTTGAAATGTTTTCCGTTCCTATTGTAAAGCACTTGACGTGAATTATGAATTAAGTTTATTTTTATTATGACTACGTTTACAGATGTGTGAATGTATGTGACACTAAACTATTTCTTGTGATTTGATCCACATTACCTTTATGAGCAGTGTGTCTGTTACAGACACTGTCTGTCTGTTGTTGTGGTTTCATGTTAATAGCTAGACCCTCCAGAAAAACGCGATTCTGCGATCGCAGAATTTACCGCATAATCAGCAAAATGGCGCAGATTTTTGAAAGGCCGCATATTTATCAAAAGGCCGCATAATCCCAGCATTTTTCCACACAAAATTGAGAAGAAAAAAAAGTTAACTCGTCTTGACGTGAAGTAGTGATGATGATGACGCGACGTCATCAGCTCGCGCATCACAGAAGGTAAACAACACGTAGAGTGAACGTGTGGAACTCACACGAGAGAGAAAACACCAAATAAAAAAATCTGATCCATGTCATTTACCGACGAACATTTCTGCTAAAGACCGGGCAAAGCAGTACCCCGATGTCTTTCACGAAAGTGGGGGGAAACTATTCTGCACCCCGTGCAACTGTGTGTTGGAGCATAAGTCTTTCTGCTGCTGCGGACAAGAAAGCCAAACAACTCACGTTCACCGAGGCATCAACCTCCAAAACCCTTTCGAGGGCTACAAGAAACGAAGTGAGTAGCCTACAAGATTGAAGCTGGTCAGATAACGAACAAGTAAATAAAAACAGAATGAGGCGGAGAAGTGTGTGTGTGTGTGTGTGTGTGTGTGTGTGTGTGTGTGTGTGTGTGTGTTTGTGTGTGTGTGTGTGTGTGAGAGAGAGAGAGTGTGATTAAAATAGCCCAATTGATTTTACAATAAATAAACATTGAATGTGTTTAATTTAATAGGAAAGGGGTTTAACGTTAGTGGCAGGTTGTAGTGTGAGAGAGAATAAATAAGACAGCCCAATATTTAAAAAAAATCTATTAATTTTTCGCAACTTTCCGCAATTTCACCATATAAAATAACATTAAAAACCCTGCATGTTTATCGCATGATCAAGGATTTTAGCCCGCATAATCAAGGATTTTTGCCCTCGTTTTTCTGGAGGGTCTAAATAGCATTGCAGCATTATAGTATTATTGCAGCTTATTTTATTTTTGATGATTAAAGCGTTAGGTCAGTAAATTGGTATTGCACCTCAAGATGTTGGGCCACTCCCAAGAAATATATTGAAATAAATACCTTTTTTATTGTATTTAGAAAGCTACCTTCAACCGTGTCATGTCATTAATATGAATATTTACTGTAGTTGCCAATAAATTAAATCTATTAAATGCAATAACCTTTGTTCGATGTCAACTGATGATTCTCTGAATGCGTAAACAAACTTCAATATGAATCAGAATATGTACATAATGTGATAATGTCATTACAACTAATTCATTGGAAGTTAATAATGTTGAGCATAATGAACTATGCCCCTGCTGTAGTTTTGCTGTGATTAAACCCGGTCACAGGTTTATTGGTAAATGAGGAGGCAAATCTTCAGTGTTATGCAAGACAAACAAAAATCTGAACATTTGAGGAACAAGCTGTTCTGAGTGAAGTTCCTCTTTCTCAGCACAGATCCTCTGTAGTGCAGTAATCTGATGCAGGTTCCTCTGTGGCTAACACATACTGCCACACTTTCAGCACAATATCATGGACGTCACTTATCTACAGGTGATAACATTTAAGTGTATCAAAAGGCACAGCGTCTCCAATCTCATTTGTTTCTACATGACGTAATGCCATGTCCAGATTTCCTGAAATAAATCATTACCTCATAAGGCCTAATCAACAACTGTTCTTAAAATGAAATGTATTCATAAAACCCATAAAGTAGTTTCATGAACATTGTGACATTAACCAATTTATTCTTATTCTGGATTTGTTCTTTGGTAAGAACAGAATCTAAGCATAATCAAGACATGTTTGTGCAAAATTACTAATATAATTTCAAAATCGTTCTATACAAGAACAATTATTATATTCTATATGAAATAGAATATTAAATATTCTATTTCATATTTAATTTAATATATTAAATATTCTATTTAAATTCCAGATATTAACTAGAACTGTAATAGTTCTATTTAATATCATTATCTCACAAATTCTGTTCTTTTAAAATAAACAACCACTAACAATGCAACACTAAATGAGTAGTTAATAGCATAAATTGCATTTTTTAAAATATATTTTATACAGTATCTGCTACTGACGGTCACTTCCTGCAGAATTGTTTCCTCTCCCTCTTTAGATGTTCCTTTGGGCCAACTTGACTTAAGTCTCTTAACTTTTCTCTCACTCTGTGTATGTGAACATGGCCTTGCAGTCTCATGCCTTTTATGGAGTTGGCACTTTATTCTGCTGACTAACCCACCAATCTAGCTTCATGATACATGCTCCTGCCAGATTATCCAAAACAATGGTTATGACGTTCTCCAGAGGCACTCTGGATGAACCTCTGATGTGTCCAACAGTCAGATCTTACCTCTTGTACTGCCGGCTGCTGGAACAGGGGAATCAGAGGGTTGGTTCTCGGAATATCGATGTGGATCTGACAGGAAGAAACATGATTGAGATGCTACTCAAGATAATAAAAGTAGACACTTGATGTTCATGTACACCGTCTTCATCTAAAGAGCAGTAGTAAGTGCAGTGTTACCTGTCTGTAAGTGTCTTTATAGTGCTCGTCTGTTCTGGAGTGGTAATACTGCTCTATGAAGCCAAAGTATTCCTCTCGCTTCCTCTTCATCACCAGCTCTCTGCGCTCTTTGTTGGCTGGCAGGTAGCCCTGTCAGAGAGAAGATAAAGACAAAACAAATATAAAAACTAATATATATTTAATGTATACAGACAAGTTACATAGAAACAAAGTAAGGTGAGGTGGGAAAGCAAAAAGCATAGCTTCTAAACCCTTTGTGAGTTATCAAGTCTCATGGTGTGAATTCATGTAGTAGCTGAAATAATATAAAAAAAGACAAGAAATAGAAAAGAAATGTCATACAAGTACATGAACAGATCACTATACAATTCACTATAACATATAACTATAATCATTTTTAAAGATCAAGCAAAAACCATGAAAGTCTTTTGCTATTAGAAATTAATATTTTCGGTTGATTGCTGAGAAATAATACTTGAAAGATGTGGCTTCAGTCCATTTCATATTTTTACAGACTATCGATAATCTGTGTGACTCAATGCTTGTTCTAAGTGTTGGTTTGCCAGTAAAAGGGACATTTTCGGCCATCTAAGATAAAAGAAGGACAGGATTTAAGGCTGTTTGTGATGATAAGGATTCTGACACTATGTGTGTCCTTTCTAAAAAGGAATCGACTGGCACTGGCTACACAGAAATGTTTAATTTGTTTAAACAGTGGCTCTCCTACAGGATCTGTTACCCAATGAGTTGTATCAAGCCAAGACAAAGCAGGGCGTGTGATGAAGCAGAGCTGAATGTCATGAGACTTACAGAGAGGAGTCTCCATGTGATCGGCCGGACTTCTCGGGGAATGCCCGACCAGCTGTGCTTCCGGAGTTCCTCTGTAACAGCAGAGTGCGGTGTGAACACATTTAAACCATTTAAACACACAGCTGGCTGTATATCACAGTGTAGTGTGAAACCAATTATTACATATGCCCTACCTAGGTCAGTGTTGGGACTGGCCAGCAGCTGCTTGAATTTGTCCAGCCGGCTCTTCTCCCGCACCGTCATGGGTGGGGCCCCTGACGCGTTCTGGTCCGACATGCGAGCCACCAGTGGGATGATGGGACGGACTGGGAGAGAATGCTGCTTCTGCAGGCTGGAGCGGACTGCCGGGGGCCACACAACAATATTGATACATAATTATAAATGTCATATCTCCTTACTAAGTTAGACCTCTAATGTGTGTATTCAGTTACCGTGCTCCATATATCTGGAATAATCTGCAGGTCCGCTGCAACTCTCACTTCTTTTAAATCAAAGCTGAAGACTTTCTTTTGCTTCTGCCTTTTAATAAATAAAACAACTATTCATATCTCACAATGCACTTTGACTTTTATACCTGCCTTTTTGAGCTTGTTTTTATTTGAATTCTCTTGTCTATTCAATATATCAAATGTGTTGAATGTAATTGTACTGTATAATGTCTTCAAATGTTTTTTTGTGACGTTTAGTATGATAGTTTTCATCCTACATCAGGAGATATTTATGATGTTTTTTTAAGCATAATTCTGTTTCAAAAATTAAAAATAGTATATAGTAAGTGTCACTGGAAACACATACGTTCACAAAGAGAAGAGAACAATTGGACAAACATGCTTTAGGCCTGATAGAATCACAATACTTGCAGTATTAGCTCTGCCCGAAAAAAAGCCTGTCACTAATTTGAATATGAATACATCTCAGTATGTCTCATTGCCAATTAATTTCTGCAGCATATTACACACGTACCTGAAGACATGTTGAGGTGGGCATCGCTGCTAGACTTGACAACCTTGCCGTTGACATGCTCCCAGTATTCTGCATCCTCCTCCTGCACATCCTGGAAGTCTAGAGCTTCTGTGCTGGGCGGTGCCAGTTTGTCAGACACCCCCGTTTCTGTATCATCAGCTTGAATCTGCTGCTGCTGCTGCTCAAACACATCAGAAAATCTCCATTCATATCACACCAACTAAATGTCAGTGCTCACGGTAGAAAAGGACGTATTGTAGCTACCTGGTCCTGTGTGGATGTGGAGTGATGGCCTGATGGTGAGCTTAAAGTTGGAGCAGGCGTGCTGAGGAAATCTTCGTCCTCCTCCTCGTCGATGTCCCAAGCATCATTGGTGCTGCGAGCAAACTCGTGGAAGCTAGAGGCCTTTTTAGACTTAAGATTGTTGAACTTGGGCTTTGTGTCTTTGGGATATCTGCAGAGGTACAGACAGAAAAACAAAAACAATAAGGGAGGTTCACCAACTCACACGTAGGTGTACTGCTACATAGAAAGAATACAAAATCTGCAAAAGAAAAGGGCAATGGCACACAGGAAATCTCTTATATGGGTTGAATTAAGGACACACTGGCTCAGTGCAGGTTCAGTGCAGGTGCATGCAATCCACAAATGTTAAGTTATTGAAGCATGGAAGAGCTTGCTGAAAAACAAAGTTAAAAATGGGATACAGAAAATAAAGAAACACAAAAATAAAATGCATCCATGTGGGTAACGTGACGTCATACAGTCAGGTGGGGAGTTAGCCACAGACGGTGGGTTCAGCACTCACGTGCGACGCAATCGTGGGTCGAGAGGGGGGTGCTGTGCTCCATAAACTGGTTGTACACTGCAGAAGATGACATGTGAACTGCTGTCACATCTGTTCAGAAAACACATGGAGCTTCCAAGTCTTTCACCTAGCTAACGCTAATAGTCAGCATGTGTACTCATTTATTATTATTCAGAGGACACGTCCTGACCAGTCTATGGTCCTGATCAGTCTATGGTCCTGACCAGTCTATGGTCCTGACCAGTCCATGGTCCTGACCAGTCTATGGTCCTGACCATTCTATGGTCTGGATCAGTCTATGGTCCGGATCAGTCTATGGTCCGGATCAGTCTATGGTCCTGACCAGTCTATGGTCCTGATCATTACATTAAATTGCATTTAGCTGACACTTTTATCCAAAGCGACTTACAATAAGTGCATGATCAGTCTATGGTCCTGATCAGTCTATGGTCCTGACCTTGTATGTGAAGCTCTTAGTAAACATTCTTTCCCTTGTTGCAATGAGTTGCTAAATCAATTTAAAATCAGTTCAAGTATTACACAACGTAGGATAACAGAGGAGAGTTCCCCATAACTGTGACACTTTTTGAGTATGCACGTTGTCATACACACTGTGCCCAGAATTATTACCTGCAAAAAGTGTGCACGGTTTAAGTAATGCCAACATCTACAAAAAGCACGCCACACACAGACAAAAAAAAGACAAGTCAGTATACTGTACTGTACGTTATTTACAACAATACAGAGATTATTAATGAGAAAAAAAAAATCAGAATCAATAAGTAGTCGATGTTTGACATTCGGAGGACACATACGCTCGAAGTTAAAAATGTAAAATGTTTTTTATATCAAATTTCTCATTCATTACTTTCTCAAAACCAGCCTTAAGCAGCCTATGGCATGGCCTACCTCAATGGATTGATATGGAACTGCACTAATGGTCACTTCAGATGTGGTAAAATGTTTGCTCATGCACAAGCACAAGAGCGCAGTGGATAAGGTGTGACATAAGTGGCTCTGTAGGAGATCACACCATGTGTATACTGCAGCCTGTGAGTGGATGGCTACAAAAGACCTGCACTTATGACTGAAGGTACACTGAATGCAGCGGCCACATCAGTGGTTTCCTGCTGCAAGAGAGATCATATCTGAGAAGAAGTACGAGTGGTGGACCAGCTTCTAACAGTGAGCCATTTTGATAGATGCTTGAAAATGTGCTTTGATTCAAAATCATACATTATAATTGTCATTATTTTCAGTTATTATCGTCAGTTACAATGTCCCTAAAACAGAATTAAGAACTTAAAGGTGCGGTAGGTAATTTTGGAGAAACCAGCTCGAGTGCGCTAGAATTTGAAAATACACAGCCGGAGAATATCTGCCACTTCCTTACAGAGCCCCTCCTCCAACACACACGAACGCGCACATGACCAATGAGGGCACGAGATAAGTTTGTGAACAGATGGAAGGCTGACAGGCAGGTAGGCCATCCAGTTATTTGACCCGGGCCGGCTAAAATGATTGGTCGTGCTTTTTACAGTACCACGGCTTCCACAGATGACATTTTTTATGGATTTGTTGTCAAAGCACTTAAGATATTCATTGCTATCGGGATGTTAAGAGCATTCCATGGAATATAACAACAAGTGTATCTCGAGCCGGTTTCTCAAACTTACCTACCCCACCTTTAAGAAACAGCATACAAATATATCACGTTACTTGGCCCCCTCCTGTTCACCATTTATATGCTCCCCCTCGGCCAGATCATGTGCCATCATGGAGTCAACTTCCACTGCTATGCTGATGATACCCAAATCTATCTCAGCAGTACTCCATCCTCCCAGCTCCCCCCTCAGTCCCTTGTAAACTGCCTGCACGAAATAAAAACCTGGATCTCATCAAATTTCCTCAAGCTTAACAGCAAGAAAACAGAGCTCATGGTTGTGGCACCCAAGGCACTGCTCCGGC